CCGATAACATAGCAAAATGATATTTACCTTATGAGACCGACAAAATCTTCTGCAGAAAATTGTCTGTTCGTGAAGAAGATGAGAATTAAGATTGCAAATAACGAGCTGACTGAATTATCAAGCTCGAGTAGGAAGTTGGCTGGCAGTACAAGAACAAAAAAGTGTTTCCAGGTAGATATTCAATGAGAATACAAAGGTAGATACCTCTTCCTTTGAACAAACAAACTGAATTCAAACACACCATCATAATAAAAACACACCTTTTTAATTTGAACACCTTTAATGTATAGACTAAAATAAACTAAGATAAATACAGATTCATTTGTGGGAGGTGAACCTCATGATAAGTAAGAGAAAGAAGAAATAAGATACAAAAGTAGGCAAGAAATAAGATACAAAAGTAGGGAAGCCTTGCCCCTACGGACCCACCAAACATCTTGCCTTACAGCTGGTTTCACATTTCTTACCAAAACATCTTGCCTTAAAGCTTTGTCTTGGATTATCTTACCAAGCCCTCCCTCGCACAAGTAAAAGGATCAGGGATTAGAAAATAGCAGAATCAGTAAAACTATGAGAAGCCAGAGCTCCTGACAGACGATCTCTGAAAGAAGATAGAAACACAAAAAAGAAGTAAAATCTCCTATTGTTCTAGTAATTTCAGCATGGTCTTCATAGGACAGTCATAGAAGCCGAGTAACTTGTTCTCCTAATCTATATTGTAAAGTTTGAAATACACAATCGATCAAATATAATTCAGATCCAAACATACATACACTTCAGTGTTGGAGCTCAATCCACCTACGGCCTATATCAAATTTAAGTTTTCAGGCTTTATTCTTGAAGAAGGGGACAAACAATACTTCTGTAAACTTCTGTATCAGGAACTACTCCATTGAGAACCATATAGTCATGCAGTTCAATCACTTCCTCTGGAGTGCAATTTTTACCGAAAGATGTAATAAGAGTTGTATAAGTAATAAAATCAGGAACCACACCCAGAAAAACCATCCTCTTCACAAGTCTCTTCGCTTGTTCATAACACTGAAATTTGCAGAAAAAGTTCATTAATATATTATAAGTGACTCTGTTTACTAAGTTGCCCATTTTTATCATTTCTGAGAATAGAACGAAGGCCTTGTTAATCTTTCCGCTGAAAAAATACCCATTCATCAGAGTATTGTAGGTTACAGCATCAAGAGAATCAATTCTTGCCAATGAATCCACCATAAGTTCTGCAGCTCCAACTGATGCCTCCTTGCATAATCCATTAATAATGGAATTGTATATCACCAAGTTGGAGTAGTTAGTTGCCTTCGTCATTTTTTCATAAACATCAACAGCCTTTTCAATATTTCCTTCCTTGCAGTACCCATCAATTAAAGTACCGTAAGTGACAGATCGGGCGTCAATCCACGAACATACATACTGCAGATAATTGGTTCGCCCTACCAATTCCTAGTCTTGCACATGTAATCCAT